AAAAATTTTTTTTTAAATAATAAAAAAGAATTTATCAAATTAATAAGCGTGTATTGACACTTTTTAAATATGTAGCCTTTTAGTTTTTAATGGGTCCACATCTTTATAGATCAAAAATTTATTTGGTATATTATGGGCCATGCTAATGACCTCCAGAAAATATCAGAATCCTTCTGGATATTTAACAGTAGATTTGTATATGACTACTGCTAACTGTGTAATTCTGGATTTTAATAGCTGCTTTTAGCATGTATTCTGCCACATTTACCTTGATAAATAGAGTGAGTGGACATCAACTTGAATTTCAATTTGAAATCATTCAAGATAGAAAAAAAACCAGCATAAGCAAAGTCAGCTGACAAACTGGGAGAAAAAAATTTAACTTACATAACAGACAAAGGGTCACAGGTTTCTTTAAAGAGTTTATATTCAAAGACCAACCCTCCCCTCTTCCCCACAATTGGGCAAAGGACATACACTCAAGGCACCAAAAAAAGAAAGGCAAGTAGCCCATGAATATGTGAAAAGATTCTCAATGGTTTTGCTTTGTTGGAATTTTAGCAAGAGTATTATTTCTTGGGTTTCTGTAGAAGTAAATTTTAAAGGACTGGAAATTAATTGATTAGGAATTGGCCTTCCTTAGAATTAAAATTCCTCATCACAAGAAAAAATTCTGAATTCTTTTTTTTCCAGAATGTAGTAGGTCAGTGAGCAAGCAACGTGATTAACAAATATCTGATGCTCGTGACTTTTTAATCGTAAGAAATAACTGAGTTTTTTTTTTAACATCAGTTATCTATGGGAAATACTGTAGATACCATCTTGCATTATTGAGCAATTCTGTTAACCTCTGGCCTTAACATTTTTCATCTGAAAAGCAGGGGCTAGACTAATTAGTCTCCAAAGCTATTCCTAGTGCTAACATTCTTTGTTTTATTTTGTTTGCCTCTTTGTACACTTAAGGGTGAGATGTAAATTTACGTCTCTGATATTTAAATGAAACTTTCTGTCTCCACCATTACGATAAGAGAGAAATAAAAGATTTTATCTTTGCAAATCTACTTATGGAATATGGTTTATAATATACTTTTTAAAGCCTTCAAAAGCCAAGAGGAAACAAAGTGAATATGTGTTCCTTCTAAGAAATACCCTTCTTTCTGTACTTGATTGGTTTCAGAATCCTTGTGTAGAGTGTGGCGTACCACACTAATTCTCTTACTGGTAACAGCTAAATATGAAGGTCAGTTGGCTGGCAGATGCTTACCAGCTGCAAATAGAGATGGCACACCTCCCAGGGCCAACATCAAAAAGTGGCTTAACTGTCCTCTGTTTAGCCATTCTCTTTCAGGTTTTCACAAATACCTAATGTGTAATTCACCATGACAGTGGAAAGCCTTTTCTGAGACCATTCACAGGCCCATTCATGCTGCAACCCCCACCTCTGAAAAGCATAATGTAAGGTTGTAGAGAACAGTAAACAGATTCTCTGTTTTCACAAATAAGTGCCAACATTGAGCCACAGAACGCTTCCATTATATCACTCTTTTACAACTGTAAGAATTAACAGAAATGAAAATTCCCCCTCATTGAGTTTCCGATTCAATGTCTCCTTAATCATACCTCTTCTAATTGTCATCAAGGACTGTCTGGATTTTATAATCCAAGATACTAAGGTGTTTATTTTATACATCATATCCACACTTAGTGTCTTACATTCTCTGCCGAGAATTCAAAAAATTGTGTTGGTCTAGGAGAAAGAGGAAAGTCCATGGTTTGTTGAACCCAGTATGAAGTACATCTCAGATACAGAATTGTTTAAATATATATAAAGTTTTGTAATTCCAGAAGATGCATGTGAGGTTTATACGGAGAGCTTTCATTACTCACCAACCTTTCATACATAACCCTGTGTGATACAGGCTCCATCCCCACCATTCTATGAATATAATAGCAGTTAATATATATGTTAGATTTAAAAATGTTTTTCTTTACCTGATTCCAAATGTAACATAGTGTCAATATAGAAAAATGAAAAGCACAAATGAAATGAAATTCCCATAATCCTATCAACTATTAGTTAATTTTGGTATACTTCCAACTAATTTCTTTCTATATACTACTTTTGTTTAAATAAAAGGAATGCCAAAGGGCATATACTGATTTGGAGTCTGCTTTGTCCATGTCCACACCATAGTTTCTCACATTAATATTTTTTTACACTGCTTGCTGCACAGAATTCTACCACATAAAGCCACCTACCATAAATTCCTTAATACTTTTGCTGGACACTTAGGGTTTATATTTTTTCCAAAATTATACATCTTTGCTCAGAGCTTTGATGATTTCTTTGGGATAAACTCTAAATGGAACCGATGGTTGAAAAATCATGCCCATTTAAAAGCTTTTAACATACACAAAACTTATGTTAAAAACTAAAAGTTTGAGGGTGCTGGTCTCCCCAGTATGTTACTCACATTGGTTGACGTTTTTATTCTTTGCCAACTAAGAAGAAAATGTCAACTCCTTTTGTTTGCCCTTTCAATATCAGTCAACTTGCCCTTTTTTCTTTTACTAGTCATACAGGTTTACTCACAACTGTACAAATAAATCTTGCTCATTCTTAATTTTCCAGCACTGTTTGAGAGATTGTTTCACCAGAAAAGTTCTTCCTCTTATCCACTTCACCCATCCAATTCCTATCCATCCCAACTCTAATGACATTCATTGCTTCCAACTATTTGGCATTTAATACACCCTTGTCCTTCTGTTTTTCACGCATGTATATTTACAAGTGAATAAAGAAAAACCTCACTTAAAATGTTGTAGAAGCGAGTAAGAAGTCTTTGTAGAAGTGAATAAAGAAAAACCTCACTTAAAATGTTGTAGAAGTGAGTAAGAAGTCTTTGTAGAAGTGAATCAAGTAAAACCTCACTCAAAATGTTTGAGTCAGGAGGCCCTGAAGGTGGAGCTCTCACGCAATACCACTCCTGCTGCTTACAGCCGCCAGCAAAAGAGAGGAAGATTTCCTTCTCACCCAGCAACAGCAAGCAGCCAATGAGCAGCCACCACCACTTCAAACTCCCAGTTTCCCCCCACGAACTTTTGTTTAAAACAGCTCCTTCCCACTTAATCCTATTCTCCATCCTCTGGACTTGCCTATGGTTCACCATAGTTTGCAAGTCGCAAATTTCAATTCCTCAGCTATTCCCTAATAAACTTACCTTTTTCTTTTAAAGGCTGACATCTTCAATAAAACATTTAGTTGCTCAAGGCCAGGCCTCACAGAATTGAGGCCCAATATGCTAAAGACTCAGTGTTATTTAATAATTTACTTTTCCAAAGGTCCTCTGAAGGAAGTAGGGAGAAGAGTAATTTACATTAGGAGTTGCTAATGCAATGCCCAAATCTTCCTTGTGGTTTTGAAGTCTAGCAGGCCTTGATGCGATTCAGGAGCAGAGGCTCAACCACGGTTCTCAAGTATTGTCTCTAATTATGCCTGGTTAACGCCGAATAGTGACCAAGGGCCCAGGCAGTCCTGACAGATGGAGCACCCGGGACAAAACTGAAGCCCTGAGGGGTGTTGGCCCCACGGTGACCCGCTCCTGGGCCCCGGGTTTCTATTTTCAGGTCGAGGCGCTTTATCCTTCCAACCAGCGTTCCGGAAAAGGGACAACGATGACCCCGCCGCACTTGTTTCCTTTCCACCCTTCCTGAGCGGGGTGTTAACCGTTCTTGAACGCGGCGGTGACCCAGCGTTTCCCGCAAGCCTCCTCGGGCTTCCGGGCAGGTCTGCAGGGGGTGCGGCCAGAGAAGAGTCGGGCTCACGCGGGAGGGCCCGGGGCCGCCCGCCAACGCCAGTCCGTTAGATGCCAGTAAGGGTTACGCCGCGTCCCCTCCGGGCCTGACGCCCTGTCCCCGCGCCGACGCCCCGCCTCGCAGCCGCCAGATCGGCCCCGCCCGCCCACAGCCCCGGCCCCGGTAGGTCGAGTCACCTCCGGGCGCGGTAGAGGCCACGCCCACCTGCCGTTCCGCGCTGGACTCTTTGCGAGTGTGGGAATTGTTGCGTCCGGTGACCAGACTCCAGAAGGTCCGCTCCGCCGTCTCTCAGGACTCCCGCGGATCTCCCCGAAAATGACGGCGTCTTGCGCGCCGCGCACGGCACTTCCCTGCCTCCCCGAGAGCCACTTCTCTTCTTGGGGCTTCGTTGGGGTCCTTTTGGGGGCCCTAGTGCTGCTGCTGCCCGTGTCCTCCGGTAGGAGCCTGGAGAGGGTGTGCGCTCCGGCGGCGAACGGAGCGGGTCGGGGAGCGGGCGGACCGGAGCCGAGGGCGGGGGAGCCTCGCTCGGTGGGTCGGGTGGGAGGCGCGGGGCTGGGTCGAGCCGGGCCGTGCGGAGTTGGCGCTCCGTGGCCAGGCTTCCCCCCGGGTGGTGCTGTGCGGGGATCCGGGGGGGTGAGGACCGCGTAGTGCGGGCGGCGGAGGCGTGCTTGGTGGTCGGCACTGAGCGGGGCGGCGTGGTGGGTGCGGCCGGCGTTTACCGGGGCCAAGCCGCGTCCCTGGCCAAAGCTTGCAGGGCGGTGCCCGCGCTGAGCCGAGTCGGGATGGGCGCGCGGACCGCTGCTTGCGGCGAGGGCTTGCTCTTGAGTGCCCGGGTGCGCGGGGGTGTTGCTAGGGCTCGGGCTGTGCCCGTGGGGAGGGTTTGCCCTTGTTCCCTGGGCAGGGTGCTGCCTTGTTGAGAGGGGTGTTGGTGCCCCGCTGGGCTGGGCTGCGGAAGCCCCGGCGGGTGTTACCGGGTGTGTGCTTTATGGAAGTGGCCAGCCCCGCGGTGCCGAGTGTGGGTCAAGGAGGCTCACTGCTCGCTTTGTAAGGGGGCTGGGAAGTGCATGGTGTGCCTGTAGCGCTGGGGTGAGAGCAGGCTCTGGGGGCCTGGGGTTTAGAGGGTTTAGGAAGGGCGCGCCATGCTTTTGTACCTGACGGTCACAGGCTCTTGTTGCCCAACATCATATTGGTTTGAAGGCTGCTGTGGTTTTTTTGCTTTGTTTTTTTACCATGGAGTCATCTTCCTATTCCCTCCAATACACACAGTATCCATTTCTATTACTGAATGGCTTTTTGGCATTGTTCCCTTCTTTTCGTTAGGTTGGGTCATATTTGAGGGGGTATCAGAAGCAACCTAAAAAACATTGGTAGCCAAACCTAGTGGGAAATAATTATCCTAAGAAATGAACGATAAATAATGTTAATCTGGTTTTCCCCTACAGCTCAAAAACTTGCTGAAGGCCCATCTGCTAAGTTTGCCTCATGTTTCATTGAATAGAATAAGTACTTTAAAATATATATATGGTAAAAAAGACATGTTATTATGTAAAACCTACACAGTCAAAGGACATCCATTGTTAATACTTTGGTATATTTCCTGTGTCTTCATATGCACGTGTGTTTCTATGCCCAAGTTATTTTTATGATCTTATTACATATACAGTTTGTATGCTGTATTCGTTCCTTAGCAGCATTCATTCCACCTCTGCGCCAGGTCCTGTGCTGGTCCTGAAGATACACTGGTGAGCAATGACAGACCATTCCTGTTTTCATGATCTTTATTTGTCTGTTTGTGCGCACACACACACGAATATAAGCAAGAACTGTGTTTTGCTCATTGTTAGATCCCCAGTAGGTAATCATGAAATATTTGCTAAAATTTATTGGGAGTGGCAGGCAGTAACCAAAACATAATACTAATGAATACATTATAACCCAAGAGAGGTGCTCTGGAGGAAAGGAGCATGAGTCTCTGAGAGTATTTAACATGTGACTGGAGGCAGGGAAGACCTTTCTGCTCATCAAACAGGCCCATTCTGCCGCTTTGGGGCTTTTGCGCTTGTATTCCCTCAGCCTTGGAACATTCTCCTCCTGCCTCTTGCATAAGTGGCTCCTTATTCTTCAAACTCATTTGAGATGCTACCCCCTCAGAGGGACCTTCTCTGACCACCCTGTCTCATGTAGACCCCCACACACTCTCCAGCCTAAATCCCCCCTAGCTTGTAGTCACCCTTCTAAAACTATCTTTTCTGTTTTCTCCCCACTAGAATGCACAGATCTTGTCTGTCTTGTCACGCTTGTGGTTCCAATGCCTGTTTGTTTTTTTGCCTGAGTATGAACTCTCCTGTATAACTATTAAATACCAGAAAATTGAACATAGTATTCAGCCGGGGCCAGAGCCCAGGAAAAAATTCCTCTTGCTTTCAGGAGGAAGATTCTTTAAAGCACCATGCTTAGGATGGCCTTTGTGTTGTGCCTAAAAAGGTAAGGCAGGGACAGCTGAGGGTCAGAGAGGCTCTGTCTCTCCTGTTTTATGTAGAGTCTGCAGGGCTCACAATACTCCAGTCTTGCTTGTTACTGATCATTAAAAAGTTCTGTGGTGGGAGGGTGGGAGCAGAACAGTGGTGGTAAGAAAGAAAAGGAATTGTTTAAAAAAGAATAAATTTTAGATTAGGCTTAAAGCTAGAAGTTGAAGGAGGCTATGAATGCTATTTGGAAGAGAGGAAAATAGATAAATACAGCGAATAGGATACAACACAGAAGTTAACAAATCTACAAATGAAGAAAAGGTTAAAAGGTAAAATCAGGAGAGATATGAAACTTGGAGGAAGTAAAATGAGAACACTATGCGGGGCAGGGAAAAATGTGGATAAAATAAACATTTCACTTTTGAAGCAGCTCATGAGGAAAAGGTTTTGTAAGCAGACACCATTGAGCCTGGGAGGCTTGTCATCTCAGAGATAGTTGCCAAATGGTCCATGGTCACAGAAGGGAACATTTGTTGAATTTCGGGAGCAGTCTCATTCCTCCAGGAATCTGCTTTTTTGGACAAAATCCACAATCTCCTGTTATGGGTGGTCTCTTCTGCCTAATTTAGGTCTTTTCTTTCTTTCCAAGAAAGAAGCCAAGATCAATAAGCGCTTACACAGTAGTTTCTTTTTTGTTTTGTTTTGTTTTGTTTTGTGAGGAAGATCAGCCCTAGCTAACATCCATGCCAACCCTCCTCTTTTTGCTGAGGAGGACCGGCCCTGAGCTAACATCTATTGCCAATCCTCCTCCTTTTTTTCCCCTTTTCTCCCCAAAGCCCCACTAGATAGTTGTACGTCATAGTTGCACATCCCTGTAGTTGCTGTATGTGGGACACCGCCTCAGCATGGCCGGACAAGCGGTGCGTCGGTGCGTGCCTGGGATCCGAAGCCGGGCCGCCAGCAGCGGAGCGTGCACACTCAACCGCTAAGCCCACTAAGCCACAGGGCCAGCCCCTACAGAGTGGTTTCTTAGTTTCCTTCCTCTGCATATTACAATGCAAAGAGAGCAGTCCTTATCTGGTCAATTGCTAGGTTACCAGAATCCTGGGAGATAGGCAACAAAAGAGATTACGTGGCCAAATCTCTCTCCAGTGCATAAAGCTTTAGGATGATGATTTTCAATATTAGATTCATTACAGTATATTCTTCTCCATTGTTCTCTGTTTGACAGCAGTGGTACTTTGAGTACCAAATGTTTTTGAATAGCTATTATGAGGGACATAGGTGAGTGCTAGGTGTTATGGCCACATGGATGAATGGAATTAGCCATGTTAACTGTTCAACATAAAAATATGTGATAGTGACCTGAGACATCCATGCAGAAAAGAGTCCAAGAGAAGGGGACCAGTCACTGCTTCCCCGGGGAAGCAGAAAGTACTTCCTAGAGGAGATGTTGAGTAGATTAAGTCTAAGAAGATGAGAGCTGAGTAGGAGTTGCTGCTGAGCAGGGAGGAAGGGTGTTCTGAGCAGAGGGAG